TCGCTCTGTGTGTGTGTCCGTATTAATCCGTCAGACACCTCTAGCTCAGAGGTTAGCCCAGCATGCAAGGTCCACAGAGAATGAGCACCTGCAGGCTCTTCCACCACTAAATCCCAACCTGCCCACAAAATGCCAGAATAATGAAGAAGAAAAGTGACAAACTTGGTGAGTCAGCTTTGTTGTGGTGGCACCAGGGTGGGCTAAGAGGTTGTAAAATAAAGTGGGATTTCAGAGCCAGGATTGGCTGTTCTATATCCGGCCCCGGTTCTAATGCAACCAAAAAAAGCCTGTGGTGTAATTTTGCTGGTAGCCACATCGGTTGGCTCGTGCTCTGTCACTCAGAGACCATGGGATAATCAAAACAAGCCTGTTCCTTGTTAGCTAGAAAGCTGATGTTCATTATTGAGCAAAAAGGGAAGCTTTTGAGCAATGCCGGAAAAGTTGTGACAATTTTTGGTCACATTCTTTGAATTTTAAACACGATTCTGGTATCCTTTTTCGTCCACTGGATTTGGGTAAGTGGCTTAAAAAGTTTCAATTTTATTTTAGAAGGCCTACTATCGGGTCCCCTGGATTAGATACGGATTAATCCAGTGACCCAACGGCTTAGCACGGAATCGCACAACTCATACCTATTGCTGTTAAAGCAGGATTATTGAGGAGTGAGGTGAAGGTAGATTTAAAGATGCACATTTGACACCTGTCTCAGTATTTCTGGCCTGTGCTGTTATGGGAGGAGAGAGTCCAAGTGCAGTGCAGACATTTGAATCACCCTTTTGATGTGAAGCGATTGCATTATTCTTGGCAGAGAAACACAACGTTGCCTCATTATTTTTTTTTATGTGCGTCTCAGCTACTTTCTAAAGAGTCTATCCTGGCTCTTAATCTGTCTCTGTCGGATCCTCTTTTAGCACAACAACATCACCTCTAAACCCATGTTAAACATGTTGATGTTGCTTTTACAAAAGGCTGGCGGCCATCTGGCACACACTGAATACCACTTTCGAATATGACCCACGCCAGCAAGCACAAGCAAGTACAAACATCCAAAATATGTTGAGATTTTGCATTTATTGACCATACTTTCTTTAGGCTAGCAGTGTCTGCATTATATGCATGCAGCACGTATGTACTGAGGCAATGAGGAATAGTACATGTGTTCAGCTTCCCCATCAGTTTATATGAGCAGCTTTGGGAGGTTATGAAAGTTGAACAGCTCAACTGACTTTAGGCTTAGCCGCTATCCCTCCTCTCGGAGCACAGCCAGATACAGTATAATCTCCATGTATGATATGGGCTTAGTGCAAAAGGGATCATCAGTTCAGTAAAAAATGCCAAGGATGAGTGTCATCAAGTGCCTCTATTGTGATCCTGATCTTCTTAATTATTTAAACTATTAAAGGTGCGGAAATCCCTGAAATGATTAATACAAAAAAATAATTAGCCAAAATCCCAGTTTCTTATCAAGTCTAAGTAGGGAACTAAGTTTTTTTTAAAGGAGCGTGTATTTAGAGTGCACTCATGCATTAGAATGAGGCAAACCACCATGTTGGGCAAATGACAGGCAAAGAAAAATATTCCTCCCTCGCAAAATAAACTCTTCTGAGTGTTGAGAGGTTGCAAGAAAATCAGAGTGCTAATTTATTTTTCTTTTTGCTCTTCCAACAACACGGGATACCCCCTTTTGCGACCAGTGAGCGGTTACTGCTCTGCAAGCATTTTGTGACAGGCCGTAGTGCGCTATTGTCATGTGGCTCTTCCGAGGAGCCACTTATTGACACGGATAACGTGTGTTTTCTGCCACCCCAGCACTTGGAGAGCCATCTCTGTCAGCAGCACCTAACGCCTTCCTCATAAGCTGCTGGCTTAGACTAACAAAAGAAGATGTGGTGTCCTTACCGTTCGGCCGGCTAATCCAGACTTAGCTGTGTGGCGTCGTCTTCAGCTGACCTCCACAGGCGAGTGCTGGCTGGGTAAGTCCATCATCATCACAGGCGAGGAGTGAGGACAGTACTCCTGCTTGTTTTCTAAAAATCATCACAACTCCTTGTGCCTGCAAGTAGGGGAGGTGTCCTGACTTGATTCAAGCCAAGGGTGTATTATTCTTCCATCATATTTGCACTTCCATAGAAATCTTTTAAGTTGCAAAGATCAGAATCAGCATTCCTCTGAATATAAGCATGCATTTCATGGCATTCAGCCTTATCCATCCAAAAAGAGGAGAGCTGGATGTTTAGAGAAGCCACTGAGTGGTCAGTTTTACTTCAGAAAACTCATGTCTTCATGCTTCCCCATACAGAACTGGTGGTCTTCTTTGCAAACTTGAACCTTAAAATGGGAGAACAGAGCAGAACCAGGGTACGGTGGCATGTAATAAGCAGATCTTACAGATTTCTTTACTTTTATCACATCTGTTGTGAATTTCTGTGAATTTCCGTTGCCTTATGATTATTTTTTCTCCAAGGAACAACACCGATGAAGGATAATGCACATTTCCTTACCCTTTTTTTTCCAGCAGCAGGTCTCCTCTTCAGCTCAAGCAAGAACAACTCTGCGGGTCGTGAAGATGGGTTAGGGTGAGGAGGGAGAGTGTAGTTACCGTAAGTGGAGCACAGAGCTTCTCCGATGCCTCTGAGTGCCTTCCCCTTCAACTCATGCTCCTCCTCCTCCATAGTTGTGCTTGTGGGCCGAGTCGGATTACTCCTGACATGATAATCTCTCTCCAGAAGCACTAAAGGATGCTTTGGCCTGAGTAAAGGCTTACATTTACCTTCTGCCGCAAGAGAGCGTGCCATCTTAAGCAGGCAATTGGTAATAGCCTCAAATGGGCAGATCAGTGCAGTTTAGCGGGGTCTGCTAAAACGAGTGTCTTCCAATCTTTTAGTGGGAATTAAGAAAGTTCACAATTGGTTTAAAGGGGGCTAAGACAACATAAACTCCGAGTAAACAGAATTATCACAGCAGAGGTATTTCATGATAACCCAATCTACAGCTGGCTGGAGATAAACCCATTGATGTTGTTGTTCAGGATCACATCCACATCCCCTCCAATACAGTATTTTAGCCTTGAGTGGCAAATGAGGAGCAGATGGTTGTGTTTTTGGAAGGTATCAGGCGCTCCACACTGTAATCTAAATAAATACCCTAGCCACAGGGGGAAATGCTTCAGGTGTGTGGGGTCAGCGATGTATAAACAAACGGCGATCAGTCGGGAGACAACTGAGGGGGATACGCGAAGCCTCACAGGTGCTGTCGTGGAGCGGGTTGCATTAACCTACAGGTAAACAGGATGTATGATCCAGAATCGTTTCTGGAGATGCTGAAATAAAGCAGCACAGTAATAAAGCCAGCACACCAACAGGAAACTAATTATTTGCTAACAAATATCTCATTCTCACAACATGAGTCATTCAGATTTCCTCAGGCCAAATTATACACAAATCAAAGCTCCACTAGAGGGGCGGAGATGTGGCCAAGTGTGAAATTTCTAAGACTTAAAATTCCTTCATCGTTGCGTGGGACAAACCAAAGGAATCTTTGCCCAAAGCTTTGTGTCGTTTGTGTATCAACAGATATTATTCTAAGGTTGTTATCACAGTGACCTGAAGGGGTAGATATTTCTTTTAGCCCAAAAGCTCAGGCAACGCATTTTAACACAACCCTCAGCAACTTGGAGAAAAGCAATAGAACAAATGAAGAATGGAAAAAAGAAAACGTCTTTTCATTACAGTCGGCAGGTGCAAAATATTATTATTACACTAACTTATTTAACAGACATCTCAATAACTGGCCTGAACAGCCTATGTAAAGACATAATGACTTCCACCTAGCAGGGAATATTGTGCTTTTCCAGCCTCAAAAAGGAGCTGTCTGCACGCAGACATTTCCTAACATCGGACAGAAACATGCCTACTCTGTACATATTGTTCACAGATGTGTAAAGTTTTCATAGACCTGCCTCAGCTGCAGCATAAACCCAACAGCTGTTAATTGCTAAATCAAGCCAGATACAGTACGAGTGAAAGGCTTGATCTGTATACACGAAAACGTCTCGCTCAAAAAGTTACGATTACATTAGTCACGAAGACAGTCTGACACATGAGAATACTCGAGGTGGGGGGGGGCAACATAGCATGTTTCCAATTTCAATATGATAGAATTCCATACACGTTGTGATTGAATCTTTTCCACTAGGCGTGGATAAGTGAAGAAACACATTTTGTTTAGTTTTGGGCAAGATTTTAAGGAAGCCCTCAATCAGTAACACTATAAACAGACCATTCCAGTTGAGGTGTCATTAGAAAGGCTGGAAATAAGGCACAAATGTTGCTACTACGCACGTCTTGCACAAGACGTGGTTTGATGATTGGACAAGTAACCTTTCGCCAAATGTCATCTCGGCGAGTGGAAAACTGCTTTTTAGAGAACCAAAATCTAAACAGAAAATGATGCACTCAGACAATGAGGGCCTTTTATGAGTGTTTCATGTTGAAAGACAAGCCTTCTGTCTAAGGAAAGCGGTAAAAAGGTAAATCCATCCCTGCCAGAGAACAAATATACAATACAATTTGCAGTTGTGAGCAGACAGGCTGAGGCCCCAGAGGTGCAGAGGCCACTCAGGTTTCAAAAGAGGTGTGCACAGACTCTGAGACACTTTTATTCCAGCTCTTAAAGTCCTGAGTTTGGGTTAAAAATTTAAACTTCCTGCTAAAATGTATTCAATTCAATTTAGTTTTATTTATATAGCACCAAATCACAATAACAAGGATTCAAGGTGCTTTGTATTGTAAGGTAAAGACCCTGAAATGTACTGATTTCAATGTACATGCTGCGTTTGCAGTGTGTGTGAACAAGTGTGAACGTGGCTAAATGCTGCCCCCATTTGTCAGTGGTTTATAACTACACCCCCCCCCCGAATGAACAAGGTCTTAACAATCAAGATGCAAACATTTAAAGAGCGTGTGCTGTTTATTGCAAAGCAAATATTTTTGCTTCTCAGCTTTTAATTCAAACATTTTTTTAAATAAATCTGTTAATGTCACTTTTTCCAAGGGAGGTCGAGCTGTTCCCGGTGCCTCACTCTGAGCTGAAAACCACTGGTGCCATCAGGGCCAAAGGGCTGACGTATTACCCTCTGAATCGAGCTGGGTGCGTTCGGGTGCCCGGTCTCTTTGCGGTTCAATTCAAGGGCCGCTAGTTTACGCTTGAGCACCCACGGGCTCTGGGAAATTTCTTTATCGTAGTCTCCAGAGTTCCACGTCATCCTACTGTCACTATGATTCCAACCAGGGAAGGACTGGCCATTGCAGCTGCTGGAAATCGGGTCAACATTCAGCGGTGCAGGGTTATCCGTGGACGCGTTTGGCTGATGTGTGTCTGGAGGTTCATCAAAAAACGCAGTGGGTGAAGAATTCTCCTGCTGGACTAAGTTCTCTGGGATTTCAGGTGGATTTTCCTCCTCGGGAAGGATTTGGCTTGCTTCTTCTGGGGATTCGTCCTCAGTGAAATGATGCATTGACTGGAATCCCATAGGTACAACACACATGCCTTTCCCGTTAGACTTCTCCTCTTCTGCTTTCAGGGCACTGTAGGCCTTACGAACGGTCTCCAAACTGTCAAACTTGATCACCGCACATAAGTGCTGGCCAAGCTCCTTGTGACGTTTCCCGTAGCACTGCATATCTGCGGGAAGCTCCCTTCCAGGTGGAAGAATCTGGAGTGAAGTAACTCTGCCGTAAATGCTGAACTTTTGGAGCACATTCTCTGAGAGCGCAGCGGGCTCCGGGCCTCGGGCTGCACCGTCGTCACTGCTTTGCTCCTCGGAAAAGTTCCAAGCGAGGAGGTGCTTGCTGGTGGGGGAGCACATCAGCCATTTGGGAAGCGGCTCTATGCGCCTCACTTTGGTGGACTCATCATTCACCTCCAGAAGGTCTGAGTACAATGCTCCCACCAGAGTCAAGTACCAGTTTTTGGTCAGGGTCCTTATCTGTGGCAAACACGGGCAACCTCAGCTTTGTTCGTATTTTACTGGATTGTTTTCATTCAAACTGCTGGAATGTAAACACCACAGAAAGCACCAAATGTTTTTTGTGTTTTGTACCTTTTTCAAAGAAGTGAGAAGCTTGAGACTGACGAAACCCTGCTTGTTCTTCTGCACATGTTTGAGCAGGAAGCCGTCCTCTGCCAGGTGGCTGTCAGAGAAGAGCTCCTCCAAATGGGTTTTGATCTTCAAACACAGCACCTCACCTTCACAGTCATCTTCACTTTGGAAGCACAGTTGATCAAATCTGTGACAAACGATTCATAATCAGCAAGCAACTTCAAGAGAAACATTTCAGATTTGTAAGTTTTAGATTTCCTTACCTAATCAGATCGCTCATGGTGTGTCGTAAGGATTGTGATAGCAGAGCAATAAACTGTTGTCTTTGCTATTTCCTTGGAAATTAAAGGCAGCTGTAACTAACACAGAATCAAGCAACTGTTCATATGAGCACAACAGCCTCAGTTGGTTTCTAAGGAATCCAAAAACAACATTTTGTAAAATGCTATAGCTGAAATTCCACATTACAAAATTAACTTCCACCAGCAACAACAGCCCATTTAAAAACAAAGAGAGCAAAAAAACTCAAACAAAACGAAATCCCAAAATGAAACAAAAAAACCCATCATGAGGACAAACTGTTTGTTGCTATACAAAATATTACCAGGGCTACAATTAAGGGCCACTGTGCACAACAGAAAAACCAGCAGTTAATCAGTATTACTATCAGCACTTAAATCATTAGAGATGTGAATTTAAAGCAGTTAAAAGCGCACAATCAAATCAAAAGGAAAATTGTGATGCCGTCTGACTTTCAAAAAACAAAACAGATACAGCAGCACATTACAAACAGCAACAAAAATGATCCTTTAAATCCATGCTCGTGTGCTTTTGTCTTAAGCTCATTCATCCTTTTTAGCGTGGGCCTGCTACTACACGCTGAAAGCAACAACAGATCCATCACTCGCACGAGATGGTTTATTTCCATGTTTTAGTCAACAAACTTGATTAATTATAAATATAAAACCCTTTGCAGGCTGTTCTTCAGCTCCACTCACCCCCCGGCCCCCCGTCTTATTGTTATGAGGCATCAGCAGGTGGTGATTTAGCAGTCCGTGTGGGCTTCTAGTGAGGAGGGGAAAAGGAGATGTCGGGGTGTTCCGAGCACATCCGCTGACATGGATATAAACTGGATATACACACGTGTGTTAAGATTACAAAGTGTTAGCTTGAAATTGTCTGCACTGTGTAAAAATTCGAAACTTCAACAACCGCTTCATCAAAACTCATCATTATTCAAATACGAGTGACAGCAGCATTTCCATGACAACAGGAGCAAACAACCACCAAACTGTTATTAGGTCTTGGTTAAAAAAAAAATCACTCCCTCAGTGACTCATTTCCTGTATCCCTCCAAGGTATGCAGCAAATTGAGCTTTCAGGCACTGATGAATCAATGTGATCTTGAATCATCACTGACACTCAGATGTGTTGCACCTCTGATTGCAAACAGAAGGACCTATTCGTGACATGGATACTAGTTTTTTCCTCCACTACGAAGGAAAACAATACTTGTAAAGGTGGAAAGGGTAAATGCAGAGCTCTAGACAGAATAAATAGAGGGTTTTACCACACTGAAGCACAAGTAAACAATTGCTAATCATTCCCAATCAGACCGGTTAAGGTGGACAGAAACAGGCCGATAGAAAAATGTGACGATCCATTTGAACAGAGCACTCCAAACCAGCAGTAAACAGCAGTTCCTCCACTGGCCGCCTGAGGCTCCCTCCAAGAGCCCCCGGGGAAATCAAACCCTCTTGACTGTCGTGCTGGGATGTCAAACTTCTGAGCAGAAGTAGTTTTAATTTCAACATGTTTTTCCATTTTCTTCTGCTTATCCGATTC